CTGCTTGCGTTGTGGCCGAAACGTCGTGAGAATTATTTATTATGTTTTATTATTATTATTTATTATTTCCATTCTACGTGACTTTACCGAAAGAACCAAGAAGATGAATCCCTGCAGTCACGAAAGCTTTAAATCGAAATTTAATCAACATCTGCAACTGCTCGACTTACGCGAGATGGAATGTATTATTTAGCATCGATGTATGTTCGCGCTATACTGTCTAATTCTCGTGCGACGCAATTGTTTTTGTTGTTTTTCCGACTTCCCCGACGCGAGTGAATCAATGTGCGGTGACATAAACTGAGGCGTTATGTGAGCAAGGGTTGCACCGTGTGCGCAAAAACTGCACAGGTTTCTTTTAAATACACACGCGCGCGAAAAAGACAGGCAAGGTCTTCGCTACTGAATTCTAATTTTGTCCTAAAAGGGATAGGAGGCTGATGACCCATCACACAAACACAGTCGAGAATATTGATTTATTTTATGTAATATTCTACAATTACCACATGACGCATATGGTTTATTCAGATTTTTTATTAGCTCCATTTGCTGTACGTTAATTTAATCTGTTTTGCTCTTGTCATTTTGGTGACCCCCGGTCACGCTTGCCACTGAGATTTATAATCCTGGTCTCTCGAATTATCACCTGGTTAAACAAAATAGCACTTGAAAAATAATCGGTTTTACAACCTCTGGCAATAAAACAGGTATTCATATTCTTGGTTCTTTCGGTAACGTCACGTAGATAGCAAATAAAAAATTTAAATTAAATTAATTGAAAATAATCAAAGCAAAAAAAACACAATAAAAATAGTAAAATACAATTTATATATTTTTATAATTTTATTTTAGTATTTTTATTTTGTATTTTGCTTTTCATATTTTCAATATTTTTTTTATTTGTAATTTTAATTTTTTTTATTATTGTTATTTTATATCTCCGTGACTTTACCGAAAGAACCAAGAATATGAATTCCTGCAGTCACGAAAGTTTTAAGTCAAAATTAAACAGGTGTTAAGCATCAAACACCAAATAGAAACATTTTGGCAAGGAATCAAGTCTGCATTAATAAACACACACGGTACTGGTGGTGAACATGCAAACAAACATACTCTGATAATAAATGCATTGTCTTTGAAACTAATTGGCCTACACCAGTTAGCCTTCTCTATGGCCGAGTCTCATGAGTGTCAGGCCAGAGAACGCCAGAAGGCGAACAGCACAAAAACGATGCCACTCTCAGAGCATTCATGGCTCGGAGTGAGCAGCTATATCATGGGACCTTTTCGACAGGATCAAAGTATGAAAAGTAACAATAGAATGGAAATAATAAAATAATAAAAATAAAACATAATAAAATTATTCTCACGACGTTTCGGCCACAACGCAAGCAGCCGTCCTCAGGTGAAGAACAGGTCTGTCGATAAGACAGAGTCTGAATGATTCAGACTCTGTCTGAATGAGGACGGCTGCTTGCGTTGTGGCCGAAACGTCGTGAGAATTATTTTACTATGTTTTATTTTTATTATTTTTTATTTCCCTTCTACGTGACTTTACCGAAATAACCAAGAAGATGAATCCCTGCAGTCACGAAAGCTTTAAATCGAACCCTACGTGTTCAATTAAACATTCCCGACTCTGACGTTTACCCCCTTGTCATCGCCGACGTTCATTTTATTCAAGTTCATTTATTCAAGTGCATTGATTAGGTGTAGCCCTGTGAGCCATTCGGCTCTTGAATCGGGTGCAACCGCAACAAACAAAAAACATGAACAAAAAACATCTTAAAGTGAATATGTGACTAAGTGCAAACAGAAAATCCAAGAAAAGACAGCAAAATATTGCAACAAAAAAAAACACCGCACACCAACGCTGTGTGCAAAAATCCCAGTGGGATGCAAGTCAAACAACAACAACAACAACCATAAGACAACTTAGATTAAGGCCATCAGTCTAACTCTGTACTACAACAAAAAACATGGCTAAACCAATACACTTTTCGAAATCACCAAAAAAGCAATCATAGGAACGTGGGCGACGTCTGACTCCGCGGCGGTGCAGGCGGAGTGCTGCGGGGAGGTGCTCCTCTCGCTCAGCTACCTGCCCACGGCGGAGCGTCTCACGGTCGTGTGGTCAAGGCAAGGGCCTCGAGTGGCCCCAAGGCCGAGAGAGTGGCGGTGAGGCGTCGCGCTCTCCTACGTTCGCGATGCGTGCATCTCAACACGGGCGTGTGCGATGTCTTTTGATTGCAATGTGTAACAATAAAATACTTTTTTTTGATTCCTGGGTAGTATTATTTTCTAATTGTTTATGCCTCAAAAGTACAGAAAATTTATATTATTCCCCCACAAACTTTTTTTGTGACCAGGACACAAAAGCAAAGTTAATAATCCACTCCATTAATAACGCTGTGTAACACATTTATTAATGTTTTGTTCCTGGGTAGTAAGTGTTATTTCTAATTGCCTATGCCTCGAAAGTACAGAAAATGGCTATTATTCTCCCACAAACTTTGCTTTTGTGACCAGGACAGTGATTTTTTGAAATATATTTTCAATGAGAAAACGTGGTGTGCATTCCTTCTCATAAAGTCCCGGTCACAAAAGAAAAGTTTGTGGGGAATAATCGCCATTTTCCATACTTTTGAGGTATAAGCAATTAGAAAATAACATTTGCTACCGAGGAACAAAAATCGTGTGACATAGTGTGTTATTATACGCTGATGGCGGGCGGCGGAGAGTGGTGCACGGCGCTTCTCTGCTCTCCTGCCTTCACGAACTCGCGCTGACCAGCGTGGCGCATGTACATTATGGGAAGGTGATGAGTGATCATGTTGTGCTGTTGGTAACCCCATCCATTCATTCACACGAACCCGTGTGCGTGTGTGCGTGCACGTGTGTGTGTCGGCCACCTGGGAAGCTGTAGTGTGGTGGTTAACGCGCTGCGCTTACTGCCAACACCAGTGACGATGATCTAAACCGGTCCTGGGCCTCCCCTAGGTCGAGTCAGCCTCAAAATGAGTACCTGGCGCTGTGTGTACTGGGGAGACAAAGGGGGTCGGGCGTGGTGCTGGCCACCCACCCCCTCGTCTGCCGTTCCGGCCTTCTTAGGTGCTCACTAACAGCGCTTGCCCCAAAAGTATGTCAAGGCTGTATGGGAGATCTTTTTAAATCCTTTATATTAAGTTCACTTGCTTGCTTGCTTGCGCGCTTACGACCGTGCAAATCTTTCGGTCGTTTTTTAACCCACTTCCCGTGATCCAATCGAGCTGACATTTTGCCCACAGACTCGTTGTGCGTGACGATTTATTTTCGTGAAAAAAAAATTCCAAAATTTTCCACTTTTTAGGAAAAAAAAATTTCATATTTAATTTAAAATACCAATGTTATAAAAATGAAACTCTTACTCAAGAAAAACAGAAATGAATAATAAAATAAAACCGATGCCACGCATATAAAGGATTCATAGTGAAAAACCTTGTTTTTACGGGTTAATGTTTTTGTCTTGCGTCTGCCATCTGCCCGGCTGCACGCAGCCCCCTTCGTGAAGGTGTACCTGCTGCAGGGCGGCCGCAAGGTGAGCAAGAAGAAGACGGTGACCAAGAGAGACGAGAGGAATCCCGTCTACAACGATGCCATCATCTTCTCCGTGCCCGCCAGCACACTGCAGGCGAGCGAGCACTCTTCTGACGCTGACGGACGCGCATGCCCCGTCCTGCTTGACAGACTATTGCGTCGAGTGGTGTTTGCGAGCACCTGTAAGGGCCAACGCAGCACACAAAGGGAAGGCACCACACGTTTGGGTATGGCCCTGGAAGACGATACCACATGGCGATTTCTGGATTCACTTCTGCATTAGACCGGTCACTCAAAGCTATAAACTGCTCATTCAAGCAAATCTAATATCTTTTCACATTGTTTTGAACCAGTCCATAGCGCTCTCTCCCTCTCTTATGTACGGCTGTATGTTGAACTTCTTTCGCACCGTACGTAGCCAACCGTGCGAATAGGAGGTGCGGTTGAATGAATAGCAACTGAAAGTCTGTGTCTGGATTAGTTAGCAGCCAGGAAACGACTTGGGTCGATGGCTGCAGGTGATGTGTGTAGAGTGCTCCGTTTACTCTCGATGCTTCCACAGTGGTTCACTGCGTGGTCGATGGTCTGGTCAGTGTGAACGCAATCACACGCAGGGCTATCTTTTGTCGAGCAATGGGTGTGCAAATTGGACAGCAGCATCAATGGTGGTGCTCTACGTAAGTAAACCAAACCAAGGCGTAGGGCCCAATAAGCTCAGGGTTGAGGGTCGGAGCTGGGTTTAATGACAAAAATATGGTGTATCAAATATCAGCTCCATTACATATCGTGATAAACATATCAAGCGAATGCATCTTCTCTCATTCGCTACAGCTCTTTTTACATTTATCTCACTGCATCTCTATCGCTTGTCGATATCTCTTCTTTTGATTTAAAGCTTTCGTGACTGCAGGGATTCGTAGTATTGGTTATTTGGTAAAGTCACGTAGAAGGGAAACAATAAAATAATAAAAATATAAAACAAAAAATTATCCTTTCTGTCATCTCACTAGGATTTTCATTTCGTAGCATGAAGGTCATCGTCACGGCTTTTCGAACATTTTACCAACGTTGTTTTTTCCCCTCCATGCAGGACATCTCCCTGCGGGTGACGGTGGCTGACCACAGTGAAGGCACGAGAGCCGAGAACATCGGCCACGCGGTCATCGGCCCGCAGAGCTCAGGGGTGGCACTCGCGCATTGGCAGCAGATGCTGGCCACGCTGCGCAGACCCGTGTCCATGTGGCACCCGTTGCGTAAATCCCACGCATGAGCCACAGCGCTCAGCCAGGGGACAGGGCGGCTCCAGCCACCACACAACCACCCAACCACTCAGCGCCGACCGTCGTTCATTCGCACGTCGGGAAGACGCGCTCGCCAAGGGGAGATACCGCCTGCAGCCAGAACGCTGAAACGACAGCATCTCAGCATCCCCCGAGAGACTCGCTGATGATTCGGGCGGTGTGGGTCAGGATGGATTTGGACTGCACGCCATCGGGCGCGAAGAGACGAGCGCATCGCAAGTAAATCGTTGCGGTCCCCTGCCCAACACCCGCGCGTTGCTCGGTGGGCTTTGCTCACGCCCGAGTGCAACGAAGCAGAGACTCACGAAACTCGCCATCAGCACTTTGTCCCTGGTAATAACTTAAGTCCAATGTGTTATTGCAAGGGTGTCTAGCCAGGAGTGAGCAATGATATTAGTTCGAACTTTCACGTTCTCGCTAATACGAGAAAATGACATAAAATACGACGGAATCTCAGCGGTAACTTTTCAACCTTTGTTTTTAAATTAAATTTTACTCCGAGATTACTTTTTTATTGATTTTAAATGCCGTCTCATCTCAGCTGATGTCTCAGTGATGTTATTCTACAAAGCCCATTGAAGATTTCAAGAATGTATTGTACCACAGACTTGGTTAAGTGTGACTGGAGATAAAGTGTTCTGTAACAACACTACCTATGAATATGTCCACTTTAAATGCGAGTTTAGGATTTATTCGTTAATTTGGTCACTACTCTATGGTTGATAATAGATGGCCCAGTTCGAATCCTAAATAATTCATATTTGCTCATTTCCCCAGTTACCGTTCGTGCATATTTCACTTTCTTCCATCAGTTACCCTGTGTGCATTACAATTTACCCCATTACAAATCGTCCATTTACATTGCAGTGTACGTTTTAATCAGTCAACTTTGCTCACACTTCTATCAGAGAAGGAACAACAAGATACATTTTGTCTTCTCATACACACGGAGCATTCAAGAACGACAACTCTCACCGCTACACCAAGGGGTTGTCCGGAGTCCACAAGGCAGAGGGCCTCACAGTTTGACGCCGCATACGAGCCACGTGAAATAAAGAAATGTCCACTCATTAGCAAGCAAGAGGGCAAAAAGCAAGGCAATTATTTTACAGTTGCAACGAAGGGAATGATAACCTGAATTCCACGTATTCCCCAGGTGCTGTGATAAGCACGGGCGTGTGCTGCTCCACAACTCCTTTGGTGACATTCAATTACAGCAGTCCTAGTTTTTTTTATCACTTGTATGCATTAATCACAAACAAAGGGACAAAAAATAGTACAGTGGTTGGGCAGTGTGCACTCAGCGCATCGGGCACAACACGATTGGAAAGAAAACAATTCAAGTGGCAATACCCAAAGCCAAATGAAGTGCACGAGTGATAATTTAATCAAAAACATTTCATTAATTCTCTAATTGCCAAACACAAGCCATAATAGCAATGTGCAGGGTCTGCCTGCATTAGAGTATGCATGAGAACGTCCTCATTGTGTGTGTGAATAAAGCCATTATTTTAAAGAGGGGGCCTTTGCTCAGTACCATGGTCACATCATTGTTTTGGTTTCCAGTGGTTAAGATACATTTATCATTCGCCTGCTAAACAGGGATTTTAAGCAGGGGCTGCAATGTGACACTGCTACACCTCTTGCACTGGCACATCTGAGCCCCAACGGCGTGGGGCTCTCGTTGTACGTATGTATATTGAACTTCTTTCGCACCGTGCATAGCAATTCATGCTAATCGGAGCTGTGCGGGGAAGGACAACAAACGAGACATGAAAAGCAGTTCTAAAGAAAGGGTGGTTTTCCACTGGCCAATAAACTCTGGCCTCACAGGACATCTGAATTAATCATTATGATCCAGACTCGCGACTCATTCATTGATGACTTGGATCCTGCAGTGGGAAAAAAAACAACCTATAGCGCCTCCTGTAGATGCGATGGACAAGCTCGGCATGGCCCCAGCGTGGCTTGAATGTGGGAAAAAGAGGTGTATACCTTTGTTTTTGTAAGCAGGCAGTCCTTGCAACAATGCACTATTGCGGTTAAACACAAGCTTTCAAATGGAATTTCTAATATGGACACAATTTTACTCTAACAGAACCCACATATGCTGAAACTGGTGTTTATGTCAAACTGTAAATGGTAAAATGTTGTGCTGTTTTAAAAAAAACAATACTGGTGCTTAATATGGTAGTTCCCTAATCGGTATTGTATTCAATACTAGACACTCAAAATATTCCAATGGAATACTACAGACAGTGATACGGTGCAGTCTATAACACCTGTTATGCATGGTGGTATCCCATCTTATCACGGTCCAGGTTCAACCTGATTAGGTTCCAAGACTGGATGAAACCGGGCACATCCTATGTGGTTTGGTCAAGGTATAAAATTTAACCAAAATAACTTTTCTACAAATGATCAAACGAGCTTTGTGCAATGCTCACAGTTAATTCAGAGCTAGTGATGGAAATTAGACTTTCCTATGGTACTGCCAATTCCGATATCCGCTGGTGGAGTTTGTTTTACTGACCCTGGCGGAATCATGGGCTGGATTGGACCTGGCAAAGTTGGAAATAACTACAGTTTTTTATGAATGACAGAAATTTCGCAGGCTCTAGTTACAACAGTAGTCGCGTTACATGTCAGCTCCCCAATTATCAAATCCATACGTGAATTTTAAGAGGCAGAAAATATCAGCTAGTTAAAAAACTATTATGAGATAATATCCAGTTTTGAACAATTCTGGGGAATAAAATCTGCACTACAAGGTTTTGAGTTTTGTAATGTAGATAACGCATTGAAAGTTGATACAGTAGTTATTTTGCTGTTATAGACACCTTTTACCTACTGAATGTCTTGTAATAATGTATGGTATAATGTTGTATGGTAGATTATATAACATTTCCCTGATTTTACTTTGGAGAAATATATTTAACGATCCATATTTTATAAATAATGTACATTTAAATATTGTGTACGTAAAAGCTGCTTTGGAAATATACCATATACACGATGCAGAGGTTTACAATGTTTCATGTATGAATATATTTCAAACATTCATTGATATCTACAACGCTCTCACAGTACTATAATTTACAGGTATCTGCAAATTGTTCTGCATGAATGTCTGATGGTGTAAGCGCTTAAAGGTCATCAGCAGTGGGATGGTGGCTTCTGTCACGAGCTTATCACACAGTGCAGTTCGCGAGCAAATGTTTAGTTTAGTCTGCATCAATTTTGTTCTAAAATTATATACATCTGCCACCTCAAGACAGCAGCTTGCGTTGAGACTGAAAATAATCCATTAGTCCTTGGGCCAGACCAGATATGGGCACCACCCAAGGTGTCAAAACTTCAATGATGCCATTTTATTTGTTACACCAACAGAAGTAAAATAGTACATGATAATCTTTCCAAATGAGAAGCTGTTTAATTTCTCTCGCAGGAAAACCTGTTTTTGCACCTCTCGCAATCACGCCGATTTGCCCGGACGTTACAAAAAAACATTCCAACACCTCTGCTTTTAATTAAGACAATAAATAATTTACAAAATGGATGTTTGTCCCCAAGGCATGTATTTCATACATATCTTGCATTTATTCACGCTTGTTCTTCAATTTTAGTGACTTAGTTAAGTCTGGAATAGATTGGCGCTATCTGTTTTCATTCTGTTTCTAGCAGCTTGTTTGCTCATGATCATTTACTGGTAGGTGAGGCAAGTACTGGTGGTTCTGTATTATTTCTGTTCAGTAAAGATATCTAAAGTGCTAACTTTACCCGCACTGTATTGTTATTGTACCTGTTAAGATTATTAATTAAGGCCAGGGACTTAACTCATAATCTTAACAGGTGGCTCGCTATTGGAAAGGTCCGGCATGTTGCGAGTTCATATCCTGTTTGGGGGTTGACTCAGCCCATCATCTCTATGGGATAAAAAATGAGTACCACTTTGTGGGGAAGTCAACAATGATTTTGTCCTTTGAATAGACTCGCCCCCCCCACATCCCGCCATAGGAATGTGGAATTTACATCGCTGGCTCAGGGCTGTAAACGGGGGATGAGCACCGCCTCAATTCTCAGCTGAGCAGGACATCGCTTTGATAATCGTTCAAACGTGGCGATGTATACATCTAGCAGTATCACCACATCTATGGCTTGTCGAATTCAATAGAAGTTAGACCAGGTCAGTGCCCATCAGCTGGCCTTCAGGATGCTGTTTGTTCCTCCACGGTATCGTTGCATGCAATGCGGAGCACACGCAGTGCCAGCCGCTGATCTCGGCCCCCGACAGCGGGACACAGAGGCACGTGCATGCCAGACCTGTAGGGTTGCCACCTCTGAGGTCCGTAGAAATAAATCTGAGACGTAAGCACCACGGGCAGAGGAATACCTCGCAATCCCCAGAGGAGGGGAGAGCCACACGTAAAGGCGCCGTTTTGACTGTGGCAATGTTACACAACTGGCAAAAAAAACTGGGACTTTTAGCGTCCCATGACGACTTAAACAGATTTCCCTGGGCAGCGGTTAGCCTGAACAAAATAATGTTCCTGGGAAAACCAGGGCAGGTGGTAACCCTTGGTGACCGTATAGACTCCTTGACTTCACTCTCAAAAAACGTCTGGGACCCCCGTCAGAAAGGGCTCCTCTCGTCCAAGGAGGCGGCAAGTGACCGTGAGTGATAAAAACAATACACCCATCAATTCAAAACCCGGCGTGGATCTGCTTGGGCTGTCCCGTGAATTTCCGGTCGGTGGAAGTCTGTTGGAGCCCAGGGCCACGTGGCCCCGGTGGTGGCCTGGAGACGGCGTGAATCCTCGATAGGTCCATGCAGAGCTTGGGGAAGACGGTGATGACAATGGTGGGGGAGCAGCGGGGGGGGGGGGGTGCGACCACTTCCCTCCCAGGCAAGAAACAAGCATATCCCGGGCGCTAGCCAGCTCCGTTTTGTTTCGAACAAAAAAATATCCAAGCTACGTGGAAACAATTGCACTCTCATAGGTGGGGATTTCGTTGATCGAGTCTTGCCTGAAGTTTCGTCGCCGCAGCACCGACAGTTGGGTTTACGACTAAAGTCGTGCACGCTATTTTGTTTTCTCGGCTGTACACCAAAGAGGAGGTTTCCAAAGAAGAGGTTGCCAGCAATGAAGATACTGATGCTGCAGCCCAGTACGAAGCTGCTGTGAATCAGTCATACAATCAGCTGATCCTCTTCATCAGGATGGAGCTTTTTGGCAATCCTCAAGTGATGACAATGACTGATCTCACTTCTAGACTGGTTGGTTCAATGAACTCCCTAGGCATTGTCCAAGTCAAGGAATCAACAAAGAAGCACATAAGGCGAAAGCTGCAGAGTGCATTTGCTGGAGCCTTGCGCATCTTCCCTGATGGGAAAGGAAAACTCCTCCTCTATCCAGATAACCTGTCCATGAGGGAACTTGCCAAAGAAAATCAGTCTTTCAAAAGGGAGCCGCGGAC